GAGGCAGTTGTGCTCTCTTAATGATTGTTAAAACTCTTAACAGCCAAGACTGGTAACCATGCTACTACTTTTCCTATTTGTTGAGAGTTAAATCTTAAATGCCCCATCTTACTCAAGTAAGCAAACTTCACTATTGCTTCCTGATTTTATTTTTTTATGATGATGAAATGAGTTGACAACTGCTGTTACTAGGGTTTTGGAGCAGACGTGCTTAAATGGTTATTTTACCCTTGTGGGAGGTTTATTGAAAATAATGATTTTTTTGTAGCCATGTTGTAACGAGACTGTCTCCTGTATAACTGAACATAATGTTTTTATGGCTGTTTGTACATATTTGAAGTTGCTGTAACTTTTTTATGACGTGAATTAATAAAACTTTGAAACGGACTTCTAATTCCATGTTGAAATTATGATGATCTGCTAAGTTACCGTGCTTGCAAATTCAGCAGTATGGTATTTCCTTAAAGCAAGCAACCTCAGCATAGGTGAAGATATTCTAGAATTCCAATTAACGAAGTTTGTATTAGCCATCTAATATCTCAATAGCACTTTTTTTTCTTAAAGCTGTGAAAAGTATGCTTTATCCTATTTTCTGCTCTTAATGTGCAACAGGAGTAAAATGATAAAATATGGATTGTTTGTATAACAAAATAAACATGCTGTGAATGTAGCAATTTCAGGAATGCATAGGCTGCTCTTTCAAATGCTATGTAAGTAGAATAAAACAAGCCTCTAATCTAGACCATCTCTGGTGCAGGGTTGGGGGCGGGCAGCCTTGGCATCTGACTGTGGAGCTGGGGAAGAGCTATTACCCCATTACGCTGACTTGCGTAGCTGTTCATTGCAAAGTTGTTGCACAGCTAGAGTCCGTTTCAGCTGTTATTACTGTTTACTGTCATGGAGGCTGACCAAACTTACCCAGGCTATCTACTGCCTCCCAGAGCTTTGGATAAAGGAGCTTGCTTTGGCAGTCAGTAATCTATGTAATGTATAGTGGCTAGCAAGTAAACAGGTATAAGTCTGTCCAGCATATCTGATTTATAAAGGAAATGCTGTAACTCCTGTTGCCAGAGAAATAATGAGATGCAAGATAAGGAACTGAATGACAAATCTTATTACTAATGTGGTGTTTGTTTTGACCCCCCCCTCCCTAAAACAGGAAAAGTAGGATAAACTACTGAGATTCCATGTCTGCGTTCGTGAAATGAAATGTGAAACATACCCCATTAGAGAGCTTACGTGTGTCTGCTAAATACAACAGGGACATTACTGGGCTGTGTTGAGCGTACCTTCGATGTCGCAGGTCACCAGTATACCTTCTGCCTTTGAACAAGGTGGTAGCTGACGTGCGCGTGTTCCTGTGCTGGGTGTTGAAATGCAGGCAGCGACCGTTCCCTTGGGTCTGCCAACACCTGGTGCGATGAACTTCGGTGTCTGTGTGCTGAGCTGCTGCAGCCCCCAGGTTTTACTAAATTTCTTCTGAGCCTACAGTATGTTTTGGGAGGTGGAGGCATGTGCGTTGATTTGCTCTGTCGAGTTGCTGCTCCTGCTAAGCGCAAAAATCCCGAAGCAGGGAATTTACTGGAGTGCTTTGCAGCCTTTTCAGGCACTTTTTCAGTGACAGCTTCTGTAGGGCTGTCTTTTCCTCTGCCAATACGTGCCACTCCCTTTCTCCCCAGGGATGCAGGTGGTCTGCTGAGGTAGGATGAACTTCATACAATTCCATAAGCTGTTAAATAAACAAAGTCTGGTTCTCAGTAAGCTCGCCTTTTGCTGAGCCATGTGTATTATTGTCTTCCCCAATTCTTCACTATCTCCATATCCTATACTTTCTTAAATGTCTATAATATGGTATCCTTGCCATTCCTTTCTTCTCCCCAAGATACTAATGCTGCTGTTTCCTCTCCTCCTCCTCTCCCTACCCTCCCCATCCCGCCTTCCTACCTTATTTTTGGCCTGTGGGAGGAAAAGAGATGCGACGTGCTGCGTCTGGGCTGGAGCCACACGTGTGCTGACTTGACTGGCCGGTGTGTGCCTGCTGTGTGGCACTCGCTTTGTTTGAAAATTGTTTTCTCCCTACTTTTCTCACAGCAGAGGAAGACAGATCCTTTTCGATTTTTTTTTCCCTAGTGGAGCTTTTCATATGAGATACTTGCACAAGCTCTTTGTCTCTAATATGGTCTGCTCCCTTGCCAAATTTGACTGAAACTAGCCAAGGGGTCAGAAAACCACAAAGTTTACAGAAATTAATTAAAAAATAGATGACAATTTTAACTAAATTCACAATTGAAGAGATTGTACTGTTGATCTGTTTCTAAACTCAGCTACTACGGTAAAAACATGATGCTGCTCAGCTCTCAAAATGGTCAATAATAGGTTTTTCCCTAGTTTCCTTTTCTAAATAGTTTTATTGACCTTTATATTGGGTTTGGTTTTGTTCTGTTTTGTTTACTAAATGCTGCGCTTGTGCAAAAGTCCAGCTGCATAAAAGTGTGTATTTATGGGGAAATGGAAAAGGATGAGGGGGACAAAAGTTGCGAAACTAGCGTATCAGCATCCTGCAGCTTTATTGTGTTTTACAGTGGTTTATAGCTAGAGGAGACTAATGTGCTGAAATTATTTAAAAAACAAACAAAAACAAATACTGAGATAGTGTCAACTCTCCACATATGCAGGCGATATTTCTTCTCATACATAGAGCAGTTTTGAACTGGCAAAAATGATCGCTACTGAAAAATAATACGGTGTTAAATAACAAAATACTAAGTGTTCTCTATTTTAATACTTTGAAAGCATTCAGTAAAGTTAAAAAGCAAGTTTCCTGTAAAAGAAACGATAGAACTTAATAAAAGAGTATTAGTCACTGCATCCATTTTTGACAAGGTAAATATTTTGATGCTTCCATTTGCCTAATTCATTAACTTCCTTCCAGAAAGGAGCATGTTTTTTAAATCTAAAGTTCTACACAAAGTTGTGATACCATGTTCCCTGTCTTTTAATGTCAATTGTGATAAAGGATATGAAGGGCAGACTGAAGATTTACTAAATAGTTTGAGACTGAATAAATGAGATCTTTTGTTACAGAGAGGGGATGGACACAAACTGTACAAGAAACCCTAGTAATAATATTTATCTTAGTGCCTGTGTACAACATGGGAAAATAGTGTTTGTATAGGCAAGTGCAAATCTATTACTTCCTTATGAATTATTACACTAGCATATATATTAATTATTACTGCTGAGCAAAATTAAATAAATGTTTATGCAAAGGCAATGAGAGACTTTTTAGAAGAGGATATGCAAATAACATATTTGAGAAAGCATGACCAATAAAGTCGATACAACTTTCTTCCAAAGACCTGAGTAATCCCTAAGCATAGTTTCCAAAACTACAAAATGAAAGGTCAGTGTTGTGTACGTAGGGTCTGTTGACAGTAGCACGCTCATTACCCTCCCGAACAATGATAGTAAGTTTGGTAAGAGAAATAACGTTGCTTGTGAACCAGCCTTATTTTTTTTAATTTATTTATTTTATATTTTTTTTTATATTTATTTTTTATTATTATTATTGAGCAGTCCTCACCTGCTGGACTTTGATTGCTATAACATACAGTGACTTTGGATTACAGACTACTTGAAGTAGCCCAAAAAATATTCTAGGGAACTAAAAATGCTAGCAGTTCCGCTGCCCCAACTTTACAACTGCTCGTTACTGAATTCTAGCAGCTCCCAGGAGAGGCTGCAGTCTGGTATTACACAGGTCCGTCGCTGGGCACACGGGCAGTCGGGCACGCTGTAGGGGTGCCTCCTACGTTGGGACAGTCGGGCCCGTCCCCGCAGAGTTTTATGAACTCTGCTAAAATCTTTGTCCTCCTTGTCTTAGCAGTGACATGTAGTGGCAGACATACGCAAGGGAAAGGGTGGTAGGCAAAAAGGAGGTGGTGTGTAATGTTAGAGGCAACACCTACCAGCTTATAGCATGTAAAAACTTCATACATGTAAGAAGTGCTTTTTTCCGCTACTAACCTCTAAATGCACTGCAGAATTCTTGCGCGTTCAGGTGCCTGCAAAGTACAGCACGGCTGCGCCAAATTGGTCCGAGTGAAAAACGTGCATACAAGAAAGTTAAAAGGTTCTTTACAAGGCAACAGCCACATTTTCAAACTAAATATTCTTATCTTGTCAATACTATCTTAAGTCTCTGCTGCATTATACGTGTGCACACATACATACACATCAGTCTAATACAAAAGTTTCTGGTGACATCCCCCCCAGCTTGAAAGCATTAGAGCTGCTGCTGATCACACTTGTATACTAATTAACCTTTGGTGAAAAAGAATTTTTCTTTTTTTTTCTGTAGAATGGTTAAAGGACAGCCATTTGCCTAACTGAAAAGCCATTGCAACTTTTCTGTATATCCTAGTTATGCATAAGAAGGCAACAAAAAATTAATTAAGGTCTAGATTAGCATCCATTTTCTGCCTGCCATGTGCATAACAGTTACAGCCATCTTCTCGTTCCTGTCGCTCCCGGTAGGCAGGGGAGAAAGCAGGAAGCGCTCCGTTAGCAACAGCACAGTCAAACAACCAAGCCTGGCAACAGGGAGATGGTCCCCATTCAGAATTAGACCTGCACGGATCAGCCGGTGCACCGAGCTGCCCTGGAAAAACAGATGGGGCAAAGAAAATGGCAGAAGCTCAGAGGAAAGGTGAGCGATCCGGTGACATTTGTGCAAGGGATGTCACAACGTAAACGTTTTTCACAGATTGTGAACACTAAGAGCGTTAGCGGCCGGTTTGGGTGGTGGCTTTCTGTAAATGGGAGGCTGCAGCTCAGCAGAGCTGCCTTGAGCAAACTGCTGAATGAAGAGGTGTAACCAGCCCAGAGCAGAGAGAAGGA